TTGAGAGGAGTAAAGGAGGCCATCTTTGTAAAAAGAAATTGTCCATCATTAAACAGGGGTGGAGGCCTCCGGGTTCAACTGTCCCCCTCTTACAATGCTGTGATTGCTAGTATCACTCAGCCCTCTGTGAACAGTAAACAGCCATCAGTGTGCTAATGATCCATTGTTAGGCTGATGGTCCTTCTTGAGCATGTGATCAGCTGGTTTTGGTTGTCAGCAGCAAACTGGTTGATCCACTCTGAGAAGGTGCTATTTAAGAGACTGAGCTGAAAACAGCACCTCAGACTGAGGAAGTCTCTCGGATGAGAGATGAAACGTTTCTATATTTTTTTGCTTTGTTTTTTTTTTTTTTTTGAATGTCCAGAGGACCAGATTGAACTTTTTTGAAATTTTCTACCTGGATTATTGAGCATGCATCAGGATATGATTGAAAGTGCATTGCTTTATTAAGTAGAAGGGTTAAAAATTTGTGAAAGTCAAGAGATGCAGTAAATAGACAATACTTACGGTCATCATTTTGATCACACCAACCCTTTGTAGGTGTTTCAAGTTGAGAAGTGCCTCAAGATAATACACGACAAGCAAGATTTCTGAAGCCTCAAGAGTTGACTCATCTAAGAAGGCTTTGCCAATGACTGTCAAAAAGTCGTTCCTTGCCACATTCAGGACAGTCAAACAATTCGAGGTAGTCAGTTCAGATTCTGTTGTCAGTATATTCTGTCTATTAAAAGAAGAAATTGAAAATAAAAATTATATTTGTAGTCTACACCCTCACTGAGTGTATGGTCAATATTAAATTACCTCTTTCTTGCACTTTCTTTGCTGACTTCTTTGGAGCATTTAGACTGTTGCACTTTAAGAAATTTGATGAAGTCGACACAGTGCCCATGAAGCACAGGGTCACGCTGTTTCAAATTCGTCTCAAAAGTGTGATAATTCAGGAAACTGTAAAAGGAAATACATGTGCTGTAAAACAACAACACACACAACAACGATGTCACGTACCCAAACGCACATAAATAGAAAACTTACCTTTTGAGATTCTTCAAATAATTGATCTGAGTTTGCTTCATCAGCTTGGCCTCAGTCAAATCTCTTAAGTATTGCTTGGTCTTCTCTTTTTCCATCACAAAATTGAGAGAAGGAGCACGTGGGTCCATGTAATAAAGGTACCTTGCTACATTGTCCACCTGAAAAGACATTTTAAACAAGTTTTGAATTTTTTAAAACACAAATTATGAACTGATGCGTCAACAAAGGTCAACAAACAGCCAGAAACGCTTTTGGAAGTACTCCTTACGTCTTGTTTGTTATTCCCATCTCTATGATGTCTGTGCAGATATGTAGCAAAGTCCCGGATCAGTTTATGATTCTTGGAGTGCTTCTGGTACAAACCCTTCTTGAGCATTAGCTGCCTTTTAGTTGTCTGCCATCCAACACATCGTTCACTGCAAGGTAGAAAGAGTCTTAGAAGAATGTGCATTTAATACATTTACTTTTCAGAGTGTTTACAAATCTCATACTTCTTCACAATAAATCCACATGGCAGACTTGGCAGCCATTTTACTTTTCTGACTGCGTGTTTAAAGAGCAAGTAAGAATGAGATAGAGATTGTCACCATTGAAAGGCCTCTCCAGTGCTGTTGCTTGGCACCTCTTCAGGCTGGTCACTTGTTTCAGCCTCAGCTGCAGGTGGCTGCACAAGAGCCTCTCCAGTTTGTTGACTGGCTACAGACCTTTCAAAGTTTGATGGGATATCTTTGACCACCATATGGCGCCGTTCAAGTTCTTTAATCAACCTTAACATTGAAAGGAAATGGTATAAAATGTATTAGGGTGTCTCACAGTAAACAACTGATCATTAGGCCTGTCGTGATAAACAATAAATCAATTAATCGCATGATAAATGAAAATTATCAACCTCATTTTCATTTATTGGCTTTATCATTTCTTCGTGTCTCTCTCTTTCTACTGAAGACACTGGATGACAAAAGGCTCAACTCCAGTGTTCTCCACTGACCCCTCCCTTTCTCTTTAAAATCAGTTTTAACCGTCTAAAATTGTCCTGATGCATGCTCAATAATCCAGGTAGAAAAATAAAATAAAAAAATAAAAAAAACGTCTAAAATTGTGTTTTTGGATGGTTAAAAGCAGCTAAGCTAACAGGCTGACCTCGGAAAAAAAACACTTTCTTGTCGAAGCTCCAAAATTCCCGGTTGAAACCCGAGTCTTCGTGTAAAAAGTTGTTTTTCTCTGCAAAAAGAAGCTGAGAACTTGTCTACTGATTTTTTTATTAACAGCTTTGTGTGGAAAAATGCTATGATAAAGAGCTCAAACCACACCGAGCGACCACCATTTTGAGAACCGACAAAAGAAACGAGAGACAGCCCATGTCACGTCAAGGGGCCTCCCTCTCATTTTTCTTAAAGAGACACGCTGCTCGCTCCCTCACTATCCATCCTTCAGTTCAAACACTTATACTGTCATCCAGTGGTCAAAAAAGGTACTACACACAACATTTCTTCTTAAATTTGACAATAATTACTAATTATTGTCAAATTTCAAACAATATTATCGTTTATCGCAATAATTTCAGAGACAATTAACCGCCCAGAAAAATTTGTTATCGTGACAGGCCTACTGATCATTAATAAAACTGTTAGCCTACCTGTGCATTGGGTGCGCATCTTCCACAATGCACCTGATGAGGTCATAAGAAAAAATGCGCCCTGAAACCAGGATTTCGTGAACGTCTTCTTTAGCCTTTTTAATAACACTTAAGATGTTGTCCTTAGAGTCGTTCTTCATGCACACTCTTAATAAATGCTGTGAGAGGGCGGCCTGGGTCTTCTTGCACACAGGGCAAAGCAGGAAATGTCTGTTGGAGTCACTAAAAACAGATGATTGTTCAGTTACTAAACAATAAGACTTTTTGGCAGAACTTTCACATGCAATAAAAAGTTTAGCTTTTCCTTGATGCTAAAAACAACAACCTTCTTGAGAGAATCTACATCAGTGTGGTCAACTATGCTACCAATCTGTGGTTAGTTATTTAGCTTTAACCAATTATTTGGCAAAACTTGCCCATTGTAAGATAGTGTTTGGTCTGAAGCCTCCAGTCAGTTAACACTACAATCCAGTCATATATCTACAGCTACGTAGAATGTCTCGAGGTTAAAACCTGCCCATCTTATTACTTACTATGAAGAAGCCATTTTCCTGGGCAGTGTTCAGTAGTCCACAACAGGTCCACAGCAGATCAGCAGGTCTCAACAGGTCAGCAATTCTCAGGTGATTTGAGCTATGAACAAAAAACACCAGAGTTAAAGGAGACCTGAGCAGTGGGACAACCCCCATCCATTGTTATGTTGAGTAGACAGAAACCAGGTAGGGGTGTGTGTCTCACCCCACCTTTCACCAAAGGAACAACCAACAGAACAACAGGTGCCAACCCCTTTAGGGAGTGGGCGTGCCTACTCTATTCTTAGAGTAACTTTCCAAATTCATTTTACATTTCATTAGACTGGTAAACCTGTGAACATTACAAGATTTTTTGCAGGGCATGAGATTGTGGGACAAATTCTGGCCTTTTAAAATGACACCAAACATGCAGGCTTTCCATCAAAATACAGGAAAATGTCTGAACGGTACAGCCTGTAGAAATTGTTCTGAATGTCTGAGCTGAGCAAACAAGGCACCTTTGGAAAGAAGAGATCCTAAGCTCTGTTTTGCCACCAATCTGGATGTGTGAGGTGTGAAAACAAAGCTTAGAATCTCAGCTTCTTTCCTCTTTTTTTTTACCAAAATATATATTTTTAGAGATTTTTCCATTTTGAAAATACAATCATGTATCAGTCTGAACAAGCTTCTTTTATAATTACTACATGACAGTAACATAAAACTAAAAACCAACTTTGAGGCAATTTATTGATGGAATGGAATATCTGGATGTAGGGCTGGATGATATCTCGATATTTAAAAATATTGATATAATTTCATACGCAATATAAAATGAGACTATATCGATATAAAACAATAAAGTCTTATACTCTACCTAGTTATAATTTTGCTTGAAAATCTGCCATTTTTTTCTCCCAGTCTGCACCTTTATGCCAATCACTGAGTACAAACCCACCCCTCCTCCATCACTGAGTACAAACCCACCCCTCCTCCA